GATTTCAGAGATTGACAATTTGGAAGAAAATCAACCCCTCAATGATAATCAGAGGACGAAGAGGGACTTATCCAAGATTGAACTTGGAAGACTTCTTAATCTGATCGAGATTTCCTGGAGGCAGAAATCTAGAGAAACTTGGCTCAAGCTTGGCGACAAGAACGACAATTACTTCCACAAGATTGCCAACTTCAAAAAGAAACTCAACAGGATTGAATGCATCAAGGTTAACGGGATCATAGTGGAAGGCAGACAGGAGGTGGCGAGGGGTATCGTCAATTTCTACAAAAACCTCTTCCTCGAAAGCACCCCCAACCGGCCCTTCACAAGTCTCTATGTAGAGTGCCACTTATCGGATACTGAAAGCCAATTCCTCATCCGGCAGTTCAGAGAAAAAGAGATTTCGGAGTGCCTCTCGGATAGCGATGGCAGCAAAGCCCCGGGGCCCAACGGTTTCACCTGGGATTTCTTCAAGAGGTGCTGGTCTTGGGTTAAAACAGATATCATCATTGCTTTCCATAAATTTCATGATACTGGTACTCTTCATAACTGCGTTACACACTTGTTTCTCTGTCTGCTACATAAGAAAGATGTGGTCGAAGATACTAAGGGCTTATGCCCAATCAGCCTCATGGGAAGCATCAACAAACTATTTAGCAAACTCCTCGCAACAGATTGAGAGCAGTCCTCCCCAACATTGTTTCGCCTAACCAACAAGCCTCGGCGAAGGGCCTTCAGATCACAGATGCAGGTCTGATCACTTTCGAGCTCTTCAACAGCCGAAGAAAGAGTTGAAAATTGGGGTTGAAGTTCAAGTTGGACATTGAAAAAGCTTTCGACAACGTAAGTTGGGATTGTTTTTTTAAAGTTTTTTCCAGTCAGGGTTTCCCTCATCAATGGTCAAAATGGATCCAGGGCACGATGTGCTCACCGCTGATCTCTAAATGGCGAATCTCGTGGCTTCTTCCCTGTGCAAAAAAGCCTTCGACAAGGCGACCCATTATCTTCCAGCCTTTTTGTTCTAGTTATGGTTGTTCTGGATTTGACGATTGGAAAAATCCTTATGCAAGGAAAATCACCTAACACCATCCTGACAATCTATTCTTTTTGAAAGATCAGCCCATAACTGCCTCCTATTTTCTCAAAAATTGTTGGCATAGATACCCGGTAAACGAACTATCAAGAGTAGAACATATACAATGGATGTACTGGGCACTTAACTCGTTTCAACGAATCCCCATTTCCTACATATAATGGACTAGCGGACGGACATTACGAGAGGGAAATAGGACATTTCTAGACATCACTATTTTTCGATCACTACTTTCATCGTAATAGGATAGGTCTGCCAGCTAGCTAGTTTACTAAGTTATTCCAAATGATGCTCGCTGGTTCATTCAATTACCCTACCATGGGCGGAGAAAGCTATTTGTCCTATCCACCTGGTTCTGCACGAAAGGTAGACCCTTTTCTGATGAATAAAATGATTAAGAGGACCCTTGAGTTATAGTGCATACTTTGCTTTCGTATTTTTTTGCCCACGTCTACTTTACTATAGCTCATCCAACCCAAACTCTAGTATTTTGAGAAATTTTAGGGTAAGTCATTTATCATAGGAATTTTTGTAGTAACTAGAAAAGGGAAGGGAAAAAAATCTACTTTAGGTTGGAATGTTTTGGTTAGTAACTTGTCTCGGATCCCAAACTCACAATCAAAATTTTCAAATTTAACAGGTAAATAGCGGAACTGAGGCTTTTGAACGCAGAAGAATTTCTTCAGGAACGCTGAAAAAATTTATAGATAATGCCACAAAATTTGCTTTCCACAAAAAACCATAAAAGAAAAAAAAAAAACAAAAACAAAGATGTCCACCTCTGGCTTCCTCTCCTCATATTTGTATACCCCGCCATTATCATCATCTCTTCAAACCTGAACTAGATTTGGGTCCGTCCTTTGACCGGATAAATAATATTAATAGTATAAATAAATTAGTAATGGTTGAACATAAGTTTTCTAGCATCTTCATAGTAAAAATGTGAAAAACACAACTCATGCAAGGGAACCAATTCCTAAAACATAGTAATCAGCGCACTTCGATTTACTCCTTAATGTAAGAAATCGCTTCAAAATTTATTTTCATTTTTTTTTTGTAATTGCTCCGCTATCAAAAATATTATCTTCTCCACACGACTTCATCTTCGCTAATGAGTAATTAGAATATTCACAATTAATGCATCAATAGTCACTTTCTTTTCTCATGCATTCATTAAAAACAAACTTTAATTGTAAAATATTTGTAAATGTGAAACATTATTTTCAACCTACTAAAATTTACTTCATTCAAGTGATAAATACTATCAACGACTCACTCTTTTCTCCAATAATTGAAATTTTTACATCCACCATCAACAACTTTTTTCTTCATTTTAACGACATTATTATCTTCATTACAAAATCCACTGTCTACACTAATAGCATACTCTTTCTTCTTCTCTAGCATTTCACTATAAGCAAAACTTAAGTGCTATATTTTTTGAAATTGTTTAAGACGATTTTTGAGAAGTTAAATTTGATACTCACTCAAAATGAAATTATCAAACTAAATTTTTATATGCATAGTTGATCCAATTTTTGTGTGAAAAAAAAATTGAATTCCAAAACTTTAGTAGGAAAATGGTTAGTTTGGCCCTGTCTAGGTTTTACAATTGTTGGTGGAATTAGATGTATTTTGTTAATAATATACATTTTATAAAATAAAATATATTTCAATTGCTATTATGGTAATTTGATCGGCCCTGTTGTAAATTTTTAAAAATAAAGTGATTGAATGGTTAGAGTTTCTTCGGTAGGTCCTTTCGCATTAGCTTGTCAGTTATTCCTTCGATTGGGCTTTAACTAATGAGTATCGACTCTTGACTTATAATTCTCCAAGGTTGTTGATTCTTAATGGGTTTTTAATCCTTGACCATGACTCTAGATTATAGATTCTATATCATGTAATGTATTTCTATGTCGATGTCTTTCCGCTCCTCAATAAAAATTAGTCTTTGTTTTTACCAAAACCATCATGGAGAATTTTCAATCAAGTAATCGAATGTAGGATTAAATATCTTCAATTTATGGGGGCAAGTAAAATTCTTAACACTTGTTAGAGGTCTCGACAAAAATATTCGCTACTCTTGGCCTAAGATGTAAGGACCACATACCACATTGGATAACTAAATAGTGTAGATCATGATGAGACAATAAACCTTAGTGAAATTAGAAGCAGTTTTGCGTGTTGTATTTTATTTTTACACTTTTGAACGATTGAACCAATTCGTTGCACATGCCTCAATTAAGATTTTGCATTTGTTCGCATTTGAATTTTGAGATAAACCTCCATAAGGTCTTCTTCATAGCCCTTTCTGTCCTCGAAAATTAATCTCTATATATAAAATCTACTACTTAAAAGTGAATTTCAAGAAAGTAAAACATATAGCTATAGTATTGTTAATCAGCTACATCTAACCAAATTTAGCCCCCTTTCTAACTCCTTCCCAAGGATTAAATATGTTCTTAAGTTCATTATACAATATGATCAAATTTATTTTCAATTTCAAATAATTTTTTCATTGGTAAATTATAGTTATATAATATAATGATCAATAGTCTAAGTTTAACTTAAATATCAATCTCACTACTTTAAGCAATTCTACTTGAGTAAGAATCATGAACCACAATAATTTGAGACTCAATTATCCATTGTCATTGTTCTACTATATGTGTTGTAGACTTGTAGCGGAGATTATTTAACCTTCGGGCGGAATAGTGTTGCGAAGTGAAAAAAGATAATTAAGAATAGTGTTTCTGGTTTTAGTTTTTAGGATTAGGTTGTGGTCTATTCCTAATATGAGTCTCAAATTATTGGAGAATCATCAGCATTCTCCACCAAAGACTAAACTTGGAAGCCCAACCCAAATACATAACATAATCATGTAAATCTGAACTCCCTCAGCAGTGGTATTATATAATGTAGAAAGACTTTAATAGCCTTCCGTGAGATGCGGCCATGCCTCCTATTTGTCTTCTAACCCATTCTCAGTTCAGAATCTCTTTATATTAGTTGGTAGGTAGATAGATCCTAGCGTTTCTTTCTTTATCCCGCCCAGCTGATCTTCCTTCTGAAGCAAAGGAAAGGAAATGGAGTCATCATCAAGTCAGCGCGTTGACAGAATTGCTGCTCATCTCAACCCTCCCAATTTTGAGGTTTGCGGTCTTCTTCTTGCAGGGGCGAAGCCAGGAATTCAAGTCCGGAGGGCCGAATTTTTTTTTCAAGCAAAAGAATATTATAAGAAAATATCATATATAATTTATTAGTTTAAATGTACACAACATCTTTTAAATTATCACATCACTCAAAATATCATATATGTGACATCTCGTTCAATTAAATAACAAGACCATCGGCGAGAAAATCATCAATCATTTGTTGCATTGTTTTTTTGATAAGGGTGATATAGGTTCATTTTGTTGCTATTAAGGTACTACTTAAGGGATTCGAACCTGGGACCTCCAGGTTCTAGCCTAGTGGTGTTACCACTAGGCCAAGCCCTTGTTCGTATTTGTTGCATTGTTTAGTCACTAATTGCATGATAGAAAAAGTCTGTTCACCACTAGCCGTAGAAAATCATCAATCATGTGTTGCATCTTTTAAATTATCACATCACTCAAAATATCATATATGTGACATCTCGTTCAATTAAATAACAAGACCATCGGCGAGAAAATCATCAATCATTTGTTGCATTGTTTAGTCACTAATTGCATGATAGAAAAAGTCTGTTCACCACTAGCCGTAGAAATTAGAAGAGTCAAAGCAAGACTAATAATCTAAAGGGGAACACTTTCTTGCAAGATCGCATATCACACAAGACGGACATACTAAGTTAGTTGATAATTCAATAAATAATAATTGAACAATAAACAAAATAAAACATTTGTCTAAATTTAGTCCAAAGTGGAACTAAAGTGGAAAACTGAAATTATATGTAGTGAAATGTGTACAAAAGGTAGAAAACATCAATTATTAAAACATAGTCGGCCATAGAACTTGAACTGCTGACTCCCTGAATGCAGATGACAGCTTCCACCACTAGACTATAACAAGATTTGTGTCTTTCTCATACCACTACATTATATTATTCGTATCCCTGAAATTCTCGGGGGGGCCATGGCCCCCCGGCCACTGCACTGGCTCCGCCCGTCTTTTTGGTTCTTTCTTTTCCTCTTTGTGGGTCTTCAATAGTACATAAGTAGACCTCTGTCATTAACCATAAAATATCAAAGCTAAAGCGCTCCTTAACCAACCCAAGGAAAAAAGAAAGACCCTGCTAATGTGAGTGATGTGCATACCTTTTGAAGTTGGAAGTTCTTTAATCTTTACCATCCTTACTGTAATACTCTCTTGTCGATACCAAGCTGGTTCTCCTGAAGTTCTGAATCGGTCACCCTCCTTCTCCTTCCTCTACAGCTGCTGCTTCTTGGGAAGTTTGTTCTTCTTGAAACCTGTTGACAACGTGCCTGTCGAAGACATTAATAACTAGTCAATGGAAGATGGGGGGATGGAAAATGACAACTGAAGACCAAAAAAATAAGTTGGTCTTAACTTGTCATCGCCCTAAAACAAACTCAGCCTCAGCATCAAACCTACAGAGAAATCCATTTGAACAACCTCATAATAATTGAATGATTTACAAACAGTTGTCATCCATAATTGCTTCCGCAAAGCTAAGATGCAAACCAAAACAAATCAGATAGTTCAACACTCCGAACAAATTTCTTTCACAATCAAGAAAAGCTAGCAAAAAGGATATCGAACGAGCAACAACCAGGAAAATGAACAGTTAACTTCCAATGGATGAGAAACTCATCTGCGATTCCCGCGTGTAATCAATCAACTGAGTAACAGATCCCTTCTTGACGTGGCCAGTCTTGACGCAGTCGTTGAGCTTCACAAAGAGGATCTTTGTTGACCTGTACACAAAATCAGAAAGAAGTTTCCAGCTAGAGGTAAAGAAAAGTACACAAATGGTATATGAGAAAATACTACAGCGATTTTCAGACCACTAGAAGAAAACAAAATCACCAGTTGGCTTATAGTTGGTGCTGCTAGGCTATCCCCCCAATATGGACTCTTCAACTTAGCAACCCCAAACACACCCAGCTAGCTCATAGTTGGTGACTAAGACCGCTTGCAGCGAGAGAGGCAAGAGAAGTTAATAGAAACTAAACCATTTCGTCCAGCAGGGGAGTTGTAATTCATAGACAAATTGATTCTATAAGGTCTCGTTGTATAAAAAAAAAAATTGATCCAATAAGGAGACACGAAGATGCAAAGCAATATCAGTAAGGACTCGGTGTATACCAAATTGATTCAGTCAAAGTAGAAACATGCGTACGAAGATGACAAAGCAAAGTAGAATCAATCAAATGGAGATACGATTCAAGCCGCTCATATTAGAATTTCTTCTATGGTACAAATCGAAGAGGAATTAGAGTTTTGCGAACGATGGCGTTACTGACCTGAAGAGGAATTTAAGTTTTTCGAACGATGGCGCTACTGTGAATTGCTGGAGTGAAGGGGCCATTTGTAGATCGTCAAGGAGAGAACTTAATGGGGGAGCAGCTTGAATCATGTGAAGAATCCTTTGAATCGCATGAGGAATGTCGTCACTTTGAAAAGGAGGGAGATGGCAGTTTGGAAGCTGATTCTGTTGTTTACCTGGAATTGGAGAAGGAACACCTAGGTAGAAAGGACAGGAGTCTTGGCGGCTTCTGAACCTGAAGCTGGAATTGAAGAAGGAACTCAACGATCACAGTAACCCCATCCGTCGATACAGAAATCGGTTCTTCATAACGGCCGACCTTGACTGGCGTGGAGACGAGGAAGCGGCTAGAACAGGGGTTGGAACCCTCCGGGGAGTTCCGAAGTAACCCCAATCTCCGCCGGCGGTTGAAGAAGGAATCAATGCGGTTGAAAAAGGAATAGTTGCGGCAGCTCCGCGGTTGAAGAATGAATCGATGCTACGACAGAACGTGTGATACGATGGTGGAGGAGAGATCACAACCGGTCTGTGGATAAATTACCGGAACGGCGGCAGAAGAAGCTATCGTTGGGCTCAAGATGGCATCTTGGCCGGAAAGCTGAAAAGGATTCAACTATAATTTAAAATAGCACGCCTAATCGCCGCGGCGGCTGCTGTGGCGATCGAACGGTGAGTGTGTCGGCGGGGAAAGCTGCCCAACGAAAGTTTTCTCCTTCACCTTCATTCCTTGTCCGTGGGCGTCTGCCACCAAGTTTGAGTAAAGGCCGCCCAGCTCGGTACGGTACAGAATTACCCGTACCGGCTGCCCCTGGCTGTGAACGAGGTTGGACACTTCGAAGTCGTCCAGTGAGGTTATCGGAAACCAATCACCATAGTAACGACTAAATATGTAATCAATTTGATTCTTGCAATCCACCAGTCGCCCACGATTGAAAGCATTCAACTGCTGCTCCAAATTTTCTTGCTGCGGGAGTTGGACGATTAGATCCTGAAAATCGATAGGAAGGTCCATTGAATCTTGGATCTTTTGGCAGGGGAAAAGAAAAGAGCTCAAGATACGACAGAAGGTGTGATGCGATGGTGGAGCGGATATCACAGTCGCTCTATGGATAAATTACCGGAACGGCGGCAGAATAAGCTATTGCTGGGCTCAAGATGGCATCTTGGCCGGAAAGCTGAAAACGATTCAGCTATAATTTAAGAATAGCCCGCCGAATCGCGACGGCGGATGCTGTGGTGATCGAACGGTGAGTGTGTCGGCGAGGAAAGCTGCTCAACGAAAGCTTTCTCCTTCACCTGCATTCCTCGTCCGTGGGCGTTTGCCACAAAGTTTGAGAAAAGGCCGCCCAGCTCGGTACGGTACAGGATTACCCGTACCTGCTGCTCCTGGCTGTGAACGAGTTTGGCCACTTCGAAGTCGTCCAGTGATGTTATCGGAAACCCGTCGCCATAGTAACGCCTAAATATGTAATCAATTTAATTCTTGCAATCCACCAGTCGCCCACGATTGAAGGCATTCAACTGCTGCTCCAAGTTTTCTTGCCGCGACAGTTGGACGATTAGATCCAGAAACTCGATAGGAAAGTCCTTTGAATCTTGGATCTTTTGGCAGGGGAAAAGTAAAGAGCTCAAGATACGACAGAAGGTGTGATGCGATGGTAGAGCAGAGATCACAGCCGGCCTGTGGACAAATTACCGGAACGACAGCAAAAGAAGCTATCGCTGGGCTGAAGACGGTATCTTGGCTGGAAAGCTGAAAAGTATTTAGCTATAATTTAAAATAGCCAGCCTAATCGTGGCGGCGGTTGCTGTGGTGGTCGAACGATGAGTGTGTCGGCGGGGAAAGCTGCCTAACGAAAGCTTTCTCCTTCACCTGCATTCCTCGTCCGTGGGCGTCTGCCACTAAGTTTGAGAAAAGGCCGCCCAGCTCGGTACGGTACAGGATAACCCGTACCGGCTGCGCCTGGCTGTGAACGAGTTTGGCCACTTTGAAGTCGTCCAGTGAGGTTATCGGAAACCCGTCGCCATTGTAACGCCTAAATATGTAATCAATTTGATTCTTGCAATCCACCAGTCGCCCACGATTAAAGGCATTCAACTGCTGCTCCAAGTATTCTTGCTGCGGGAGTTGGAAGATTGGATCCTGAAACTCGATAGAAAGGTCCATTGAATCTAGGATCTATTGGCAGGATAAAGGTAAAGAGCTCAAGATACGACAGAAGGTGTGATGCGATGGTGGAGCGGATATGACAGTCGGCCTATGGATAAATTACCGGAACGGTGGAAGAATAAGTTATTGCTGGGCTCAAGATGGCATCTAGGCCGGAAACCGAAAAGGATTTAGCTATTATTTTAAAATAGCTCGCCTAATCGCGGCGGCGGCTGCTGTGGTGATCGAACGGTGAGTGTGTCGGCGAGGAAAGCGGCCCAACGAAAGCTTTCTCCTTCACTTGCATTCCTCGTCCGTGGGCGTCTGCCACCAAGTTTGAGAAAAGGTCGCCCAGCTCGGTATAGTACAGAATTACCCGTACCGGCTGCGCCTGGCTGTGAACGAGTTTGGCCACTTCAAAGTTGTCCGTTGAGGTTATCGGAAACCAATCGCCATAGTAGCGACTAAATATGTTATCAATTTGATTCTTGCAATCCACCAGTCGCCCACGATTGAAAGCATTCAATTGCTGCTCCAAAATTTCTTGCTGCGGGAGTTGGACGATTAGATCCTGAAAATCGATAGGAAGGTCCATTGAATCTTGGATCTTTTGACAGGGGAAAAGTAAAGAGCTCAAGATACGACAGAAGGTGTGATGCGATGGTGGAGCGGATATCACAGTCGGTCTGTAGACAAATTACCGAAACGGCGGCAGAATAAGCTATTGCTGGGCTCAAGATGGCATCTTGGCCGGAAAGCTGAAAACGATTCAGCTATAATTTAAGAATAGCCCGCCTAATTGCGACGGCGGCTGCTGTGGTGATCGAACGGTGAGTGTGTCGGCGAGGAAAGCTGCTCAACGAAAGCTTTCTCCTTCACCTGCATTCCTCGTCCGTGGGCGTCTGCCACTAAGTTTGAGAAAAGGCCGCCCAGCTCGGTACGGTACAGGATTACCCGTACCGGGTGCACCTGGCTGTGAACGAGTTTGGCCACTTCGAAGTCGTCCAGTGAGGTTATCGGAAACCCTTCGCCATTGTAACGCCTAAATATGTAATCAATTTGATTCTTGCAATCCACCAGTCGCCCACTATTGAAGGCATTCAACTGCTGCTCCAAGTATTCTTGCTGCGAGAGTTGGAAGATTGGATCCTGAAACTCGATAGAAAGGTCCATTGAATCTAGGATCTATTGGCAGGGAAAAAGTAAAGAGCTCAAGATACGATAGATGGTGTGATGCGATGGTGGAGCGGATATCACAGTCGGCCAATGGATAAATTACCGGAACGGCGGAAGAATAAGTTATTGCTGGGCTCAAGATGGCATCTAGGCCGGAAACCGAAAAGGATTCAGCTATAATTTAAAAATAGCTCGCCTAATCGCGGCGACGGCTGCTGTGGTGATCGAACGGAGAGTGTGTCGGCGAGGAAAGCTGCCCAACGAAAGCTTTCTCATTCACCTGCATTCCTCGTCCGTGGGCGTCTGCCACAAAGTTTGAGAAAAGGCCGCCCAGCTCGGTACGGTACAGGATTACCCGTACCTGTTGCGCCTGGCTGTGAACGAGTTTGGCCACTTCGAAGTCGTCCAGTGATGTTATCGGAAACCCGTCCCCATAGTAACGCCTAAATATGTAATCAATTTGATTCTTGCAATCCACTAGTCGCCCACAATTGAAGGCATTCAACTACTGCTCCAAGTTTTCTTGACGCGGCAGTTGGACGATTAGATCCAGAAACTCGATAGGAAGGTCCATTGAATCTTGGATCTTTTGGCAGGGGAAAAGTAAAGAGCTCAAGATACGACAGAAGGTGTGATGCGATGGTAGAGCAGAGATCACAGCCGGCCTGTGGACAAATTACCGGAACGGCAGCAGAAGAAGCTATCGCTGGGCTGAAGACGGTATCTTGGCCGGAAAGCTGAAAAGTATTTAGCTATAATTTAAAATAGCAGCCTAATCGCGGCGGCGGTTGCTGTGGTGGTCGAACGATGAGTGTGTCGGCAGGGAAAGCTGCCTAACGAAAGCTTTCTCCTTCACCTGCATTCCTCGTCCGTGGGCGTCTGCAACTAAGTTTGAGAAAAGGCCGCCCAGCTCGGTACGGTACAAGATTACCCGTACCGGCTGCGCCTGGCTGTGAACGAGTTTGGCCACTTCGAAGTCGTCCAGTGAGGTTATCGGAAACCCGTCGCCATTGTAACGCCTAAATAGGTAATCAATTTGATTCTTGCAATCCACTAGTCGCCCACGATTGAAGGCATTCAACTGCTGCTCCAAGTATTCTTGCTGCGGGAGTTGGAAGATTGGATCCTAAAACTCGATAGAAAGGTCCATTGAATCTAGGATCTATTGGCAGGGAAAAAGTAAAGAGCTCAAGATACGACAGAAGGTGTGATGCGATGGTGGAGCGGATATCACAGTCGGCCTATGGATAAATTACCAGAACGGCGGAAGAATAAGTTATTGCTGGGCTCAAGATGGCATCTAGGCCGGAAACCGAAAAGGATTTAGCTATAATTTAAAAATAGCTCGCCTAATCGCGGCGGCGGCTGCTGTGGTGATCGAACAGTGAGTGTGTCGGCAAGGAAAGCTGTCCAACGAAAGCTTTCTCCTTCACCTGCATTCCTCGTCCGTGGGCGTCTGCCACCAAGTTTGAGAAAAGGTCGCCCAGCTCGGTACAGTACAGAATTACCCGTACCGGCTGCGCCTGGCTGTGAACGAGTTTGGCCACTTCGAAGTCGTCCGTTGAGTTTATCGGAAACCAATCGCCATAGTAACGACTAAATATGTAATCAATTTGATTCTTGCAATCCACCAATCGCCAACAATTGAAGGCATTCAACTGCTGCACCAAGTTTTCTTGCCGCAAGAGTTGGACGATTATCTATGTCTCTATGTGAATTTTTGTTCTTGTACTACTTTTTTTCCCCTTCAAATGTAACATTTGGTATACTTGTTTGGACTGGACCTTGGGCTTTGCGTCTGGGGCTCATGTTCCTGTACTGATCCATTCGAGTTTATCATTGTTATCCATTAGCATGGGCCCAACCTTGAAAATGAGGCTCGGTTCAGTTGTGGGCCTTGCGTCTGTCGCTTCACAATGTGGGCTTGGCCTTGCTGATTTGATGTTGGGCTCCAACTCGCATGGGTCTGGGGCTCTAATAGGGTTGATCTCGGAGCAACGATCCAACTCGGGACCCGAATTGTCTTTCCCCGGGTTAGCAAAATTGAAAGAAAAAGCGCGCCAAGTCACTGAGCTATTCACCACCTCCAGAATTCCCATTTCCCTGCTCGCTTCTGCTGCCGCTTCCTCCATGCCTCAATTCCCTCGTTCCCGCCTCCTCCCCTCCCAAGCACAAGAACAAAATTCCTTGTTGAATTACGACGAATCGCTTCCATCTCTTCCTATCCGCTATGTGAGTATCACTGCAGTTCTCCGATCTC